GAATTAGGGGTACCAAAATGATTTTTTTCTAAATTGCTCGTGTACTTTTTCGTACCACATTTTGATTTCCCACTTTGGTCTAGTTATGTCATTTCACTCACACAGTAAAGAATTATCTCTTTCGCCTTAAACCCATTTCCATGCTTATCTTGTAATTTCTCATCTTATCTTCCCATTGATGCTACGAAACATCGGCTGTGACTGAGATTGAACGTAAACATCTGGAAATGCTTAAAGGTAGTTTCCAAAGAGTGAACCCTGGATTGGCTAAATAAGTGGATGGGAAAATGACAAAATCTTTTTTTTACTCAGACCACAAGGAAGAGCACGTGTTTGCAAACTCATCCTTGTTATTCTCGTTGGTATAGTGCAAAAGCACCCAATTTTCCATTCTGTTCAAATTATCCATGCATCTCAAGACTGACGAAATCTATGTGATGAACGAAATAGACTTTTCTTGGAGTGCTTTAAATGAGATAAATTAATGCCTCGGTTATATTTGGTCACCTTGGAGAAATGAACTCAATTGATGTGCCCACAACACAGCCATTAGTTGTCTAGGGGTTAAAACGTGTGTGTTTCACGTTTCAGACAGATGTCAATCTTTCAGTCTCCTTCTAACAAAAGTCTAAGTAATAGTGGCGAAGTGGTCGAACCTCTCGTCTAAAGAGTCAGATATCATGTCTCAAATTCCAAATTGAGCCCCCAAGTAATCTAGCCATCCAACCACACTGATGAGCAGGTTCGAAATTTTCACTGGATGGTGCCAACCACTAAAGCAACATACGTGGAAAATGGGTTGTCTAAATGAACCTAACAATTAACACTCATTATTAACTTAATTTATTGCAGATCTATTATAATTAGAACTTAGCATTATTTTTTATATCAATTATCATCTCCGCACACCAATACATCTAAGTCCACAGTTGGACTCTCATTTCAAGTCTAGTTGCCTTGTTTGATCCCAAATCCATTTTACGCACTCTGCGAAACTTTTCTCTGGGTCTCGGCATCTATCACTTTTGCTTTTTATCAACATTCCGGTTTGCATGGGAATTTTTTAGAATTCTGAATAGCTCAGTCAAATGAGCTGAAATTATGTTTCGCTAAATGTCTCTGTATCACATTTTGTGCATCAAAAAGTCGTTCGGTGTACTAAGGTGTAGCCATGAAAGGCAATCTTAGTTTTCTATAGTGGGGTGCACGAAAGACTTACCTCTACACGGTGCATCCTGGACAAAGTATACGTATTCGGCAAAAAAGTCTATAAAACGGAAGTTGACTTCTCTTTTCAAACTACCTTGACCCCACTGTACGTCAATCGCGATCACTTCAGCAGTACTCATTTTCCCTTTTCTCTACATTTGGGTCCATCTCTCTCCTTACATCTGTCAATCACTCTTCCTTACCACATGCTAACCAGCCACATTCACCTAGTCTGACAAACAAAAGATGCATTGAGCTTACCAATTAGAACTTCCGTCCCATTTGTTCAGTTAGTGATACCCCAGATCAAATGTTGAAATTGAGTTTCGCCTTTCACACTAGACATTTGCCAATGTTTTCCAATCCCATAATGATTTCGCAACGTCTATATTGTACAAGTAAGAATTTCCTTCGTACATGCTTATTATAAGCAGAAAAAATTGCATTCTAGAGCGAATTTAAAATACTCTCAAGAGGGAAGTGAGAAGAGGTTAAATATTGAAAATGAAATTGTTAAAGCCCAGAGGAACCCGTTTAACATTAATACGGCCTACAACACAGCCATCTTAGTCTCCGCACTTTCTTCCATTTCAGTCTCAGCTACCACTGAAGCAAAGACTCTGGGATAAGCAAAACAGGATCGACTGCCACTTCTGTTGAAACACCCTCATGAGGGAGAGAGGGATCCAAGTCCATCTTCTCTTCATTTCTCTCCGGTTTAATTTCCTCTTCCCCTCCATCATTCCTCACAAAGTGTCCATGACATACCCACAAAACTCTCATTGCATTAGCCGTCATAAGCTCCTCCCTCACGACCGAATTCGCAAATTCAGGAGTGTTTAGTAATCTCATCATAAACTCATAGTTTTCCCTATCCATATCGCGAACTTTAATCATTTCTCCTTTATAACGTGGTCCTTGCAGTAGCAGTTTGCACAAAGATAGCAATGGTGGCTGGCCCACTTGCCACATATTTATGGTTGAAAAGCTGAAACTTAAAGCAAATTTCTGGACCACCCCACCAGTTGCAGAGCCTATGGCTCAATTTAGCCTGACTCATGAAAATTCAATCAATGACATGACCAATATCAGGGCTTGGATAAGTTCCCTGTGAACGAGGAAATCCTGATGAGCGCAAGTCATAAGCCTGCGCTGATTACGTTTCTGCAATTTGTACACACTGACTGTCGCTACTACCGATTGAATGGTTTAGAAATTTCTTTGGATTGGTGACACTTATGCGTCGCCATTAAGAGGAAATGAAAGTTGTAACAAGGTTTTTCTTAGCTGAATCTGCGGAAAAATTAATACACGTTTCAATTTCCATAACCCTATGTACTGCTGCTGCTGTCGGTAAGGAGCGTGCAATCACCGGCCGCTGATTGTTCGCTGAGTTTTAAATATCTTCCAAAAAATCTACAAATCCCGCGGTGGAGTGCCTGGTCCACTTAATCTCCTGTTGATATGCTGGCGTATTTGTCCAAATCCCATGAGGTGGAATAGTGCATGTGCTGCTTTGCAGCGCATGTGAGAGCCGGAAGACATTTGAAGATGATAGGGCTGGTGTTGCCTTCCATAAGCGCCCCACTATATAACAAAATTGTTGAGCAGACGTGCGCCGTTGGGTTGCTCTTTGCCTTGTCGTATCTAAACATCTTGTATACTGCTGCTGCTGCAGACATTTAACATATGTACCTGGTCGATCGGCCAACAGTGTGAAGCTATCTTCATACAGATTAAGACCGTATACATTTAAGTGTGAATACCACACAAAGATGCAACGATGTCAAGTGGATAGGCAATTATAGCACTTCCGTTCGCGAGAGTTCGGACGGGATCAGCGTGCCACATCACTCGTGGTTGGTCTGACAACAACAGTACTAATCCAGGGCGTTGATTACCACCAAGTGCATCGGATAGCAATAATGCTAATTTGGGGTTGATACGATACCCAACTGTGGAATAAGTTCGGAGGCACAAAACTGTTTGTAGGCGTCTTGCCATTTTGTGTGAGCTACGTGTGTATTCGAGTAGCTATCACACTGTGAGGTATTTTGTTCTAACCCCACTAGTCGTAATGATTTGGGACCTTTGAGCCACATTCATTCATGTATTCATTCGATTCACTTATCTTAATGCGAACACATGCTGTTAACTCTTACCCTTAGGAGTTGCAGTGTACGTATGCATTTATTTCGTGCATAGCAGTCAAGGTCATTCAAGCACTCAATCGCTCAACCACTTTTAGCACCAACCATTACTCCATGCTTACTAATAATTAAACTTCTACTATATTGACTGCCAAAATTCATATACACACATAAGCGTATACCTGGGGCAACATACCACAAAACCACGTGTTCGAATTATTTACATAAATCAACTTCATAACGCATTACTGCTTGAGGTTAGAAGGATTTTATCTTGGCAGTACCTTCATTTGCTGTGTTCCAGTTGTATCCACTATCGTTCGTGCTGGACACTGTTCTTATAACCAGTGAATAGAGTTCTTTCAAAGAATGCTGCATGCATGCGATAACTTATCACAATGGACTGTGCGCCCTGGCCGAGCAATCAACTTAGTGCAATGTGATTGGCTAAGATGGGTGTGCGATAGACTTACCTCCACGATGTGCACCTTGGGGAACGAATACTCATACGGCAAAGGTGACTTTTTATTTAGTAGTTGATTTCAGACTACCATCACCCCACTCTGTCATATTCTACCACTTCCACAGAACTCATCTTACCTTTTCACTGCCTTTGTGTCTGTCTCTTTTACATCTGTAAATCACTCTTGTGTTCCCCACCCCTCAACTTTCTGTTACCCTGATGTTCCTTCCACCTGTGAAGCTGGAAGTCATCTAAAAGGCTGATGATAACTATCAAAACGCCTGTCATTTGAAATAAATAAACTATGACCCGAAGTTATGTTACATTCAGCCACTTCCATAGTACTCCCCTTATCTTACCTTTTCTCTATCTTTGTATCTGTCTCACTCTTTCACATCTGTGAATCACTCTTACATTACCCCTCCCTCTCATCCCGACTTGTTGTGACTTTGGTGTTCCTCCCCTCTGTGAAGCCCGAAGTCAACTAAAGGGTTAATGATAACTGCCAAATCGCCTGCCATTTGATAATTATAATGATTGGCTAATAGTAGAATGAGTTATTATACGTGGTGAGAATATGGAATCGTGGAAGGGGTGGGGGTTCGCATTATGAAATTATTAAGTGAACAATTTTGATAAGCACAGCCGATAATGGATTTATAATGCGAGATGCACTTAAACGCGATTTCGTTTGCGTTTGAAAATAACCGCAGAAATTTGAATTAAGTCTTTTATTCGACAAAGTAAAATAATGGTGAAGGCAGTAGCAAATTAAAAACTATTAAATTACTAATTAGTAACTGTATTTTGTGAGAGAAAAGTTGGAAGTTTCCAAAGACGAGAAATAATTTAATGTAAATTTGGGTTATTTGATTACATTTAACTTATAGACTTTTTCATTGTTTATAATTTAAAATTCCTAAGTATTTAGACAGTGGAAATATTTAGACGAAAAACAAATCATACAATTCGCATTATTTTAATTACAATTAAAATATAGTCTTAATCAAAATTTAATTTAAGTGTTATTCAATTTCTTCAAACTTGCAGAAATAATTATTTTCGTACATTTCATTCAACACGTTGTTTATCTAAATATTTGTTTTAATTTGTAACTCAATTTACCCTCAATATTCAAATTATCATGACTCAGCAGAACAACCACCGTGATTGACTTATTTCTAATTTGGAACAAACACATTATATTAATTGGTTAATTTGTGTTAAATGGTGAATTAATTTGCAATATATTCATTAATTCATTCTTGGGGAAAATTAATGTTGATGAGGGAAGGAGAAGCTTCCTCCTCGAACTGTTTGCGGTGCATCGATCTTCTGTTCTTCTCTAACTGAGCATACGTGTAGTTTCAAATATTAAATCTAGAGAGGACACATGTCTTAATACCGAATTTTGTAGCATAATTTTAAAAGTCGAGTGGGGTGTTGGAGAAGCATCACTCCAACTGATCTCGTGTATGAAGTCTTAGATAAACAAAACAAAGATATTCGTAGCTCAGAAAAAAATCAGCTTTTGGGTTGAATGAGATTAAAGCCGAGTTGGCAATTAAGTGATTGTGTGCAGATCATGGTTTGTCAATTTTACTCACTGAAAGTCATATAACATTCATTTTCAGGTGAAACTTCAAATACCTGGTTATTAACTAAGGAGGAATTAGAAAGAATACGAATACCACCACGCCGCCTTACATCCGTTAACAAGGCTTCAATTAATTAATTAAATCAAAAAATCGCGCGGAACAGTCACAGACGTCTTGTTAGTTCTTCAGTGTCTCTTATTTAAGTGGATGCGGAGGAAAGTGCTGAATGAAAGAATCGAAATGGATAGGGGAATACTGCCAATCAGTGGAAGCCACTGGACTTGAGCTTGGTGGATGTTGTGAAGTGAAGTTGGACACTGATTTAAACTGATTACCACAGAAGAGAGTTAAAGGGTTACGTGAGTTGGGCGAAATAGATCAATATGCTAGGAATAAAGGACAGGGAAACCTTAATTATTTTTGAAAAAAAATGATTTTGTAAGATATGACTGGCAGTTTTTGATTGATGGTAAAAATGTTTGGCTAGGCAAATACTATTTGGTAAATCAACACATTGAGTATTTTTTGAATGTGTGGTATTTTTTATTTCATTTTAGACGAAGATAAGAGAGACGAATTTCTCCAAAATATACGCAACTTCTACGATTCTATGAATTCTCATCCAATGCAATAAATACGCCATCTTTTTCGAGGAGAACAATCGAGTTCTTCCTTTTATCGTTGGTATGTCTCTCAACCGAATCCATCTTTCTACCTCCCGAGAAACCCAACACCAACTCCCCCTTCCAAGAAATAATTTGTCATATTCTGAGCTGACAACTGATGGTTATTTGTGGATTTGAATAGAGACAGGAATTTTATCCCAACTACCCCCTCCCCCACCCCTCCTCTCGATTTTGTATTGCTATGAATATTTTGTCAATATATGGGCTCTTTGTTTAAAAGGAATTTCATTTTGCCAAAGCGCATTCAAATGCTTACCTAAGGAAGTGGTCTGATGAAATTATGTGCATACTTGTAAGTATTGAATGTTTGCATTTGAGAGTATTTTAATTCACACTAGAATGCTATTTTTTCCGATTATAATAAGCATGTACAAAAGAAATTCTTACTTGTACAATATATACGTTACGAAATCATTATGGGATTGGAAAACATTGGCAAATGTCTAGTGTGAAAAGCGAAACTCAATTTCAACATTTGATCTGGGGTATCACTAACTGAACAAATGGGACGGAAGCTCTAATTGATAAGCCCAATGCATCTTTTTGTTTGTAAAGCTAGGTGAATGTGGCTGGGTAGTATGAGGTAAAGAAGAGTGATTGACAGATGTAGAGACAGATGGACACAAATGTAGGGAAAAGAGAAAATGAGTACTGTTGAAGTGATCGCACTTGACGTACAGCGGGGTCAAGGTAGTTTGAAGTGAGAAGTCAACTTCCGTTTTATAGACTTTTTTGCCGAATGCATATGCGTTCTCCAAGATGCCCCGTGTAGAGGTAAGTTTTTCGTGCACGCCACAATAGAAAATTAAGAATGCCTTTCATGGCTACACCTAAGTACATCGAACAACTTGTAAATGCACAAAATGTGATACAGAGACATTTAGCGAAATGTAATTTCAGCTCATTTGACTGAGCTATTCAGAATTCTAAAAAATTCGCATGCAAAAGGAATGTTGATAAAAGGCAAAAGTAATAGATGCCGAGACCCATAGAAATGTTTGGCATAGTGAGTAAAATGTATCTGGGATCAACCAAGGCAACCAAACTTGAAATGACAGTCCAAATGTGGACTTAGATGTATTGGTATCCGGAGAAG